ACTGGGAAGATAAATAGGGAGGGGATGTTCTTGCATATGTCACTTGTCCTAATCAACACTATATTTTCTCTTACAATGATATTGCAGTGACATGCGTGTTGTGGCACTGGATGCAACTTAGGTGCATCACACGTGACACAAGTGCGTATGCCACATCATGATGTCAAGACCTGGGCTGCAGGGCATTGCATTGGTTGTTGTTATTTTGTCTTATGATCTTGTTTTCAGTTGTTGTTAACCACCAAGAATCACATGAGATGAGCAGCCGTGCCAATCTTTTCAATTCATAAATAGCATTCAGGGTGTCATTTCCCCTCTTGCTCCCCCTGCACATGCCCAGGAATAGATGCAGGCTAGGGAATGGCATGGGGTGGCAAACTATACATTGTAGAGTTTTCTGATTTCTTTTCCTTCTGTTTCAACAGTTGATGAGGAGGTGAATGAAAATTACCATGAACCAAGTGTAGTGCCATCGAATATAATCAAAACTGAAATACCAGAAGAGACTTCTGCAAATAATTGGGGAAGGAGGAGATATGAGAAAAGCCAATCTTACAACTGGAGACCAAAATCCGCTCTTGAATATGTGGAAATGGATCACTTCCTGACCCAATGTGATTCCAAAGAAAACAGTGTGGGAAAGTGTCGAAAAAGTGGGGAAATACTCCAAGCAAAATACAATTTCAGTAACCACTGCAAAATTGGAAAGAGCTTCAGCAATAATAACAACACTACTTCCCATAAGCCCTATAAATGTCTGGACTGCGGAAAGAGCTTTAGGTGGAGTGGTTATCTAACCGCCCATAAAAGGATCCATTCAGGGGAAAAACCCTATAAGTGCATGGACTGTGGAAAAAGCTTCAGTATGAACAGTTCCCTAATTTCTCATAAAAGGATCCATTCAGGGGAAAAACCCTATAAGTGCATGGACTGTGGAAAAAGCTTCAGTATGAACAGTTCCCTAATTTCTCATAAAAGGATCCATTCAGGGGAAAAACCCTATAAGTGCATGGACTGTGGAAAAAGCTTCAGTATGAACAGTTCCCTAATTTCTCATAAAAGGATCCATACGGGAGAGAAACCCTATAAATGCATGGAGTGTGGAAAGAGCTTCAGGAAAAACAGTGTCCTTACTTCCCATAAAAGGGTCCACACAGGAGAAAAACCATATAAATGCATGGAATGTGGAAAAAGCTTCAGTCATAGTGGTTCCCTTACTTCCCATAGCAGGATCCATTCAGGAGAAAAACCCTATAAATGTATGGACTGTGGAAAAAGCTTCAGAATGAATGGTTCCTTTACTTTTCATAAAAGGATCCATACAGGAGAGAAACCCTATAAATGCATAGAGTGTGGGAAGAGCTTCAGCACAAGCAGTGAGCTTACCTCCCATAAAAGGGTTCACACAGGAGAGAAACCCTATCAATGCCTGGAGTGTGGAAAGAGCTTCAGCAGTAGCAGTTACCTGTCCTCCCATAAAAGGATCCACACAGGGGAAAAACCCTATAAATGCATGGAGTGTGGAAAAAGCTTCAGTATGAACACTTCCCTTAGTTCCCATAAAAGGGTCCATACAGGAGAGAAACCCTATCAATGCATGGAGTGTGGAAAGAGCTTCAGCAACAGCAATCACCGGAACTCCCATAAAAGGATCCATTCAGGGGAAAAACCCTATAAATGCAGGGACTGTGGAAAAAGCTTCAATTTGAACAGTTCCTTTACTTTTCATAAAAGGATCCATATGAAAGAGAAACCCTATCAATGCTTGGAGTGTGGAAAGAGCTTCAGCAGCAGCAGTTACCTGACCTCCCATAAAAGGATCCACACAGGGGAAAAACCGTATAGATGCATGGACTGTGGAAAAAGTTTCAGTTTGAACAGTTCCTTTAGTTTTCATAAAAGGATCCATATGGGAGAGAAACCCTATAAATGCATGGAGTGTGGAAAGAGCTTCAGCAGTAGCAGTTATCTAACGTCCCATAAAAGGATCCACACAGGGGAAAAACCGTATAGATGCATGGACTGTGGAAAAAGTTTCAGTTTGAACAGTTCCTTTAGTTTTCATAAAAGGATCCATATGGGAGAGAAACCCTATAAATGCATGGAGTGTGGAAAGAGCTTCAGCAGTAGCAGTTATCTAACGTCCCATAAAAGGATCCACACAGGGGAAAAACCTTATAAATGCATGGACTGTGGAAAAAGCTTCAGTTTGAACAGTTCCTTTACTTTTCATAAAAGGATCCATATGGGAGAGAAACCGTATAAATGCCTGGAATGTGGAAAGAGCTTCAGCAGCAGCAGTTACCTGACCTCCCATAAAAGGATCCACACAGGGGAAAAACCGTATAAATGCATGGACTGTGGAAAAAGTTTCAGTTTGAACAGTTCCTTTAGTTTTCATAAAAGGATCCATATGGGAGAGAAACCCTATACATGCATTGAGTGTGGAAAGAGCTTCAGCAGCAGCAGTTACCTGACCTCCCATAAAAGGATCCACACAGGGGAAAAACCGTATAAATGCATGGACTGTGGAAAAAGTTTCAGTTTGAACAGTTCCTTTAGTTTTCATAAAAGGATCCATATGGGAGAGAAACCCTATACATGCATTGAGTGTGGAAAGAGCTTCAGCAGTAGCAGTTATCTAACCTCCCATAAAAGGATCCACACAGGGGAAAAACCTTATAAATGCCTGGAGTGTGGAAAAAGCTTCAGTATGAACAGTTCCTTTACTTTTCATAAAAGGATCCACACAGGAGAGAAACCCTATAAATGCCTGGAGTGTGGAAAAAGCTTCAGCAGCAGCAGTTATCTAACTTCCCATAAAAGGATCCACACAGGAGAAAAACCCTATAAATGTATAGAATGTGGAAAAAGCTTCAGTTTGAACAGTTCCCTTACTTCTCATAAAAGGATCCATACAGGAGAGAAACCGTTTAAATGCATAGAGTGTGGAAAGAGCTTCAGCAAAAGCTGTTACCTTACTTCCCATAAAAAGAGCCATACAGGGGAGAAACCATAGAACTGCTCTGGTTGTGGAAACATTTTTTGTGAGAACAGGATCCTTCTTATAACAGGAACCACAAAGGGGAGAAAAAAAATATAAATGCATGGTGTGGAAAGAACTTCCTGTGGAGCAATCAACTTACTTCCCATAAAAGGACCCATAAAATGGGGAGATGCCTTTAGGGACTGAAGTGTCCTGAATTCCTATAAAAGGATCCACTGTGATATGAAACCGTATAAAGGTACAGAACCTAAAGAGAGTCAGTTTGTTGAGTTGCCTTATTTCCCATAAAAGGATCTGCTCTAAGGATTCAGTAAGTACAAGGATCCTGTGGAAAGAGGTTGAGATGACCAGTCCTTCTTTTGGAGGATCGCCATAGAAGAAACAGAATAAATGTATGGATTATGGAAAGAGCTCCCCAGGATAGATTTCTTAATACCAGAGGTATTGCCTAGTCAATTAGGTCTGGCTCACGAGAATCTCTTATTAAATTGTCCCACTCATTACGTCAAAGCCTCTCAAAACCTCTGCCTGGTCAAGCTGCCTTATCTAGGCAGAAGCAACATCTGAAGGAAGTCCGAGAGCTGCCATATGTAAGCAAAGCAAAGCAAAATGTTTTTGTGCATTTGAGTATTTTAGCTCTAACTGTATTGAAAATACCAGCCTTTCCTAAATGTGTATGTAAGTATCTAAGCTATTGATTCTTTTTTTCATGTAACCCGATGTGCATAGCTCTGGTTCATCAGTGAAAATTCTCCCAAATGTTTATATGTACATGCCCATTTTGTTTACCCAGCTGAAAGCAGAAGTGTAGCCAGTGAGTTTGATTGTAGCTGTTGCCTCTATGCTTTAAAAATGCTTTTATGAATCCAACCATATGAGCAATATTTTTTTTTAAAGGAGGGAGTTCAGTCAAGCTATTTCTCTCTCTGTCTTCATTTCTCTGAGTAAAGCCTCCAAAGCCTTTTATCATCAGTACCATTCAGCTCAAGGGAAACCTTCATGGGATTTTTTTTTCTGAGAGTTTTACATTCCCAAACCACTGCATTCCCACTTTCTCAAGATTTTCAATGTCACTTTAGTGCCACTGTATCATTTTATGATATCAAGGTGATCAGAAAGGTCAATCCTATTTGAAATTTTAGGGGACTACGGCATTGTAAATTTGAGAAATTTCGTCTTACATGATTGTGACTCTCGGTGCTTTTTATCTTAATACAGCTTTTAAAAAAACGTTTCAGTATATCCTGATTATTAATTATATTTCTCATTTTAAAGGGTTAATAACACGTTTGGCCTTTGAGCGGCCGCCAAGGATTTGCTTAGTCAGTCGTTTCCTTCTTACATCTGCGGTTTCCGCGGGGAGCGCCAGGCGGGGGCTCCCTCTGCCCTCCTCCTCTTCCCACGGCCGGAGCCCTGCGGAGAGGCCTGGGCCGAGCGGGGAAGCAGCCGAAGGCGCCCAGGCAGCTCCCGCGGCCAACGGGAGGCCGCAGCCGGGTCTCCCAGTCCAGGCCGACCCTCTCACTGCTCCGCCACATGGCGGCTTCGTCTGAGGGAGAGCCAAGGC